CTCATGAGGTGAAATGAGGTTGACCCCCCCCCTCTTATCTAGGGCACTAACACATTAGTACTAGAACATTAGAACTATAATTCTAGAACTTCAGATTAAGATTACTTGGCCGAATGGCAGGGTTCGAGATTCGACTCTAAAACGCTCAGTTTAGGAGTGATTAGTAGATAACTACTGCATGATATGCGAAAATTCCAACTAGACAAGGATCATGCTTAATCAAAGTGTTCCTCGACTTGAACTTAAGTCTTGTAACCTACTGGAGTTTGGGCCACTGAATCGAATGTGACCTGATATTAATTTTAGGATGTCGGGAAATTCATTAAGATTTTTATTCTATGGTTTTAAATTGTGCTACGAATCCGACTTTGAGTTGATAACACCGAATTTCCTGTTTGACTCTCAAAGAGAGGAACCGAGGCTCAGGTTCCTCTTTTTGGCTCTGAGATTCAACTTTAAGATCGGAGTTCGGTGATCCTCGCGTCGGAGATCATGTAAGTGTAACATCAGTACCGGAGATCAGACTTTTTGCTTGATATTGGACCTATAAATCTAATTATATATTCGAAACAGCACGGGATGTAACCAAGGTTAATTTAGATAAGATATACCAGCTTTCGGGGTTACAAGACCTTATGAAAGGCAGGCAGAGCATCCTAAATCCTCATACTATCCTCACGTTGACCATCTAGGTGCAGACTCCAGCTATTAGGCCCGAGATCCGTCTCTTGTCCCGTATTGTCCCGTAAGTAAGAGATCGTTCAAATTTTGGTCATTAAGACCCCCCGCTCTAAAATCCACTTTACCCACAGCTGGAAAAATTTCACATGTGAAACCTAAATAGCCAAATCAGCATCTCGAAACCTTCTATTATATAAACCCCGTGATCCTACTATAAGCTTATAATTTATAAAGCATTGCATGCCGAAATTAAGATTCACCTCAACTGGTGATATGAACCTGGTATGTTACCTGGATGCCCTCAGTCAAATCTCGAACCCTGCTAATGCTATTCTGCCAAGTAACCTTTATCTGAGGTTCTAGAATTACAGTTCTAATGTTCTGTCTGTGCCCATGCCCCAGATAAGATCTCGAGGCAGCTCACTGCTGTAATAACAGAAGAACTAGCCAGTCAATGACACGCATTATCATACGATGGGAAAATCTATGCGACTGAAAAAAGGATATGGGGTCATTCTGAAGTACTGGTCAGTACTGGTCAGTGGTCAAGCAACAATCTGGCCCGGAAACAGTGCCGAATTATTTTAGGTCCGGTATTCTTAGTACATATCATGGTTAAGATTCATGGCATGAATAAATAGAAAGTTGAATTTTGGTCATTACATTTTGGCTAAATTGGTGCCAATAAAAAATTGTTAGAGTTTTCACAAATCATGCAGTAGTTAAACTTATTAACTAATCACTCCTAAAGTGAGCGTTTTTGAGTACATGATATGCATGAGTAGGCAATTGCAAACAATTTACTGTTAGCAACTGACCCATTGACCTTTACTAAAGAAACCGTAATTTTGAAAAATCGCCCTTTCGTAAGACACAAATATGCTGCTGGCCTGGCCCATTAACTAATTAATTAATTAATCTGATTAAGAGCTAGATGCCCAATAAAGTAGATCATTCTCCAATTTTTGTAGGTGTTTCTGGACACAAAGTGACTCATCTTACATCTTGTGACAAATACTATGTTGCTCCTGAGTCTTTAAGACCGTTCTAGTTAACAGTCCAATAGCCCATTAATTGTGAATATTGTCATTGTTCGCTCGGCAAAAATCCGTTTTTCAGCCACATTGCCGAAAATAAGCCTTTTAGGGTATATGTTGCTTCATAAGTTGTATATAAATGTGGCCATTATGTACATTTTAGTGTATCAGAATAGTCTCTACGACCTTCCTAGGCGGAAATGCCAAAAATCACGGAAATTATGAACTGCGTCAAGCCAAAAACCGTTTTTTCGGCCATATTTCCGAAACGAAGCATTTTAAGATATATGTTGCTTCATAATTTGTATATAAATGTGGCTATTAGGCACATTTTGGTGTACTGGAATAGTTTTTAAGACCTTCCTGGACTGAAATACAAGAATTCGAGTGACCGCGAAACCCTGAAAAAGGGTGCGGCCGAAAACGCCCTTATTGCATTTATTTCAAAAATGCAATAAAGTCCAAATGTTTCAAGAATCATCTAGAGAGGTGATAACCGTTGAGAAATCGCTTTTAACACGAAAAGCTAACGAGATTCCGTTTCGTCTCAGACTAAATGTTTAAACGTTTTTTTGAAATTAACCATTGAAAGTGTGATATATTCAAGTTACATGCCTGTTGCCACAAGATGTTGAATCCCAATAACAGCTCTCATCCATTTAAAATGAAGGTATAATAGCGGGGGGCCTTGGGGAAGGGGGGGGGGAGAGGGGGATGGCTCATTGTTGCAGAGTAAAACTTCATAAAGTCATAACGTGGTTAATTCTGTTCGTTTTGCTCTACGGGTGTGTGGCCCCCAGAATATAGGTCGCTTTTTGAGCACTTAGAAACAGGTGTTAAAACTACTTCTAAGCATGTTTAGGGGTGTAAATATGTACATAATAACCCTTTAAATGTTTCTTGGGTAGTTGAAAATAATTATTAGGTTTTAAAGTGTACTTTTTTTTCACCTGTAAAAATACCATTTTTTAACAGGGCCCCCAGAATATAGGTCCAAACATCTGTTCCTAAGTTTTTCTAAAATTGTCACAGACAGTTATATGCAGTCAGAATATGTTGCTGAGACTGTATTGATGATGCCAATCGCTCCAGATACTAAATTGAAATGGTTTAGAGTATACTTAATAGCAAAAAACCAAAAACTACGGCCCCCAGAATATAGGTATGCAAAAATCGTCCTCAAATACTCCATCTTCATACATTTTGATGATGCCATCTCTTCAGCATATCTTCTTTAACTGTTTCTCATCACTACCCCACATTCCTCAATGCTCAGGGTGACAGAGAAAATGCAGAATCTTGGTCGCTATTTTTTTTTTAAAACCTATATTCTGGGGGCCATATACCCGTAATGAGTAAAATCTTTAATTTTACTAGTTAAAAAGCTTTCATGCAATCATTTAGTAGGGATCTTAACTAAATACTTAAATAAGATTGAAGGAGTGTCCCTGGATATGATTGAGGGGGGCTGTTTTTATCTGTATCAATACAATGTGCACCTCAATGACTGTAAATCAGACATTTTTGGCCGCCAAATTTTTTTAAAGGCCTAACTCAAAATTCTGCCCCAAAACGTAAGGTCATGAGACAATTCTACGTTGATTCTAAAAATTTCATGAGAAAATATTTTAACCCTATTGAGTTCTATTGTTTTGAGCGAAGTCAGTTTGAGATATGGGCGATTTTGTTCATTTTTTGCGATTATTTGAACACAGAATCCACAGTTAGGTAGATATTGAGCTGATAATCATAGAGAATGTGTAGTATATATGCTTACCTTCCATATAAAGTTGGTTTCATTCAAAAATATTGATATTTGACCAATTTATGGACCAAAATCGATCAAATTTGGTGCGTATGCCCAAATATGGGCATATGGTTTTTGTTTTTATCCCATAACTCGGCCAATTTTTATCCAATTTTGATAAAACTTGATATGTGGGTTCAGGAGACTAGTAGCTACAAGTAGAGCATCCCAAAGCATGGTTTTGGGCATGTTCAGGGTTTTTGACCAACCTATATTCTGGGGGTCGTATAGACCTATATTCTGGGGGCCCGTAAAATTGTGGTGGCCATAACTTTTTTCCAAATTGTCAGTTTGCAGATGTCTCGATGAAAAGATAGCTTAAAATAATACTTATACTCATACCAGTAGTCTTAATGGCATGTGTTGGACAGATTTTTGTCATGACAATTTTTCGCCATATTTACTCCTCTAGAAAATGACAACATCGTTTAAATCTTTCGCTGTCATGACCAAATATACCAAAATACCTCATGTAGGTCCAAAATTCTTATCCAGAAACATTAGTTACATGCTTTACTCCAACCTAGCAGTAACAGATCCCATTAGTATCGCTTATCTTGGTTAGAACTGTATCCACTAACATGACCTATATTTTGGGGGCCACCTATATTCTGGGGGCCATATACACGTACAGCGTATTATCTCATGTACGATACAAGCTGATAAACTCTTTATTGAAATGCAGAAGTTGGCACTGTGTACATGTAACAGCGTGATCTATAAACTGTATCAGTACAACAGCTATATCATAATAGCATGCTCTTCACGTATATTGGCATAATTATCCCACCTTTCTATTGGTGCTCTAGACAATACAGTGATTCAAAGTATGTTAGAAGTTGGTGGCATTACTTGCTATACAGTAGGTACACTACCTGCATTACTTGTGAACAGGCAGGACTGGTTAGTTATATGACGTGTGGGAAAGCAGGTGGGCGTGGGATTGCAGTAAATGTGAGTCTGAAGTGTTGCGAAATGTTTTAAATTCTATTGCAGGACACGTGATAATATGGACTTGAAGAAACTAGTAACCGATTGAAAAAATGAAACGTTATAACATTAACCTTTTGTATTAATAGCAAAAATAACTATTGGACAACACATTTAAATTTGAACGGTTTGAAAATTGTTCGATCGTTCGCGTTCGTTTAAAGTTACGCTTTAGTGCGCTTACCTAAACTAAAAACATACCAAAAACCACTAACCTATGAACTGTAACCTAGCAACTGTAACCTAGCAACTGTAACCTAGCAACTGTAACCTAGCAACTGTAACCTAGCAACTGTAACCTAGCAACTGTACCCTAGCAACTGTAACCTAGCAACTGTAACCTAGCAACTGTAACCTAGCAACTGTAACCTAGCAACTTTAACCTAGCAACTTTAACCTAGCAACTGTAACCTAGCAAACTGTAACCTAGCAAACTGTAACCTAGCAAACTGTAACCTAGCAACTGTAACCTAGCAACCACTGACCTATCAATATGTGTTCGTGAGAGTTGACATCGTTAGCCTGGAAACTGTTGTTGTTATTGTTGTTGTTAGGACCTTCATCAGTGAAGCTGGATAGTTGTCGGAAATCAGCTCCAATAGCTGCTATCTCTCTCATTATCTGTTCACTGAGGGGTAATTATTATTATTAATATTTATATGATATCTCCCTAGTGGGGTAGTAGGGTTACTACTAACAGTAGTACTACTAAGTAGGGTGTACTAACAGATATCTGTATCTCCCTAGTAGTAACTAGTAGGGTCTACTTAGTACTAACAGTAGTACTAGTGTGTACTACTAACAGTCTCATGATCTGCTGCAGCCTTTACATAATTATTATATATAGTTTTTATATTTAAACTGACACAGAAATGTATCGTTAAATTGCTGTATAAAATTTGACTTCATTTATTTATTTCATTTCTTTATTATAGGGGTAATCATCTTAATTAATTTAATCATCCAGATTATTTATATTTCATCTCCATGAGTTTTATCAGAAACTGTCCACATTTTGTCTCAAAAATATAATGAAATGAGACAGACTACTACATCTGACTATCTCAATTAGGGTATAATCATTTTAAAATACACGTATCAAGAACACGTCGTGTAGTAACGTGTATTAAGATCAATAGATCATGTTTAAGTGTAGTTCAGAGGAACCGAGAACCCTGTGGCTCTGAGTTAGTGTGAGTAGCGAGTTATTTGTTGTGTTGTTTTGTGGTTAATTAAACGGGTTCCAGAGTAACATTCCAGTGTAACATTGTGTGTCCTACAGATTCCATTAAACACACCTTCCAGTGGGTAATTAATTACAAGGTAGAAAGGGTAAATATAGAACATAGATCCGGGAAAAGAATATGAGCTTTAATGGTCATGGTGGTAAATGGTAGCATTAAAGCTATCTGAATAAAAGGTTCAGCTGTAAAACAAATTTCTGTAGAATAACTGCATGACTACCAAATAACAATTAGTGACTACCAATTAGTGACAAACAATTAGTGATTAACAATTAGTGACTAAGAAAATGTGAGCAATATATATTATAGGACTTATATTATTATAGGTGCATTCTGTGAATATAAATATTTATACTATAAAAGGAAGAACAATGACCCCCCCCCCCCCCCCCCCCCCCCCCTAGCCTCACCCTCCAATGACTATTTTGCTTCCCAGCTACATAACAATAATAGGGGATTATTTGATAGGGGGTTAACAATATTAGTTACCAGAGTTCCACAAGAATTTGGTAAAATACCGTGTGTTCTCTCTGAGCAGGGTTATATTATTATGATGGAATGAGCTTCTCAAGCCCTGATACGAGTTTGTAGGGTGCAGTTGTAGGATTTGCTAATATATATTAGTTGTATATAAGTTGTATATAAGTTGTATATTAGTTGTTAACTATGTGTCAAATATTCCAGCCATGTTAGGTGTAAACAACAGTCACGTACATGTAGTGTACACACTGAACTCACTGAATAGTCGGCAGAGATTGAACTACAAGTACGAAGTATTAAACACACATTTATAGTTCTTTAATGTTATAAACCTATACTGAATACTGAGTGCACTGCTATATACCTTATACACAGTACAATACGATACATAGATCGCTGGTATTTTAGAAACTTGGTAGACGAAGGGCTGTAAAGAGTGCTGAATGTGGGGGGGGGGGGGGGCCAGGGGGGCACCACTTTTATCACAAGGCTTCAGCCAGGGTGCCGCTTATAGTCCCACACCATGAGCAGCCCACACACAGCTGCTATTATAGCTTTACCGCAATTCGTTCCTGTGGAATCTCAGGAGCTCAGTGCATACCATATTTGAAATACTATTTATAAATATAAATATACATATAATATACAAATATATATTCCATATACAAACGCATATATAATATACTAGTAGAAAGCCCGTGGTCAGTGGTCAGGGATAAAGCTAATGGTATTCTGTGAATGTCACTTTTTATCGCACCAATAACATCCAACCCACTTGAATATACAGCCGATTATACACACTAAACACGACGGAATAACCACAAAACCGATCATTATGTCGTTCCAATAACCATTGCACGTGCACGTGCGCGTTCCCGCATATAACATCTAATATGCATAAAGAAGCTTGTAATATCACGCTTATTACAGGTCAATACACACAATCTAATATCAAGATACTAGCTCTACCAGACAAGCCTGGAGATTGTGGAGATTGTATTAAGTGGTAATATCACCTAATTGTATACCAATAATGAACCCCTATAATACCGACCGTAATTCAGCGGGTTAAGTTAAAATGTGGTACAGAGACACTAAACTCGCTCCTAGATTACTAGTGTTACAGAGACACCATACTCGCTCCTAGATAACTAGTGTTACAGAGACACTATACTCGCTCCTAGATTACTATCCCGCTATTACTAAGATATCATCTTCAAATTGGTGCCGTATTAGTTCCGCCTTTATTAACATGCCCCATGTTCACTGTTTAAAATCAAACATCTACCGGAATGTAATCGAGTCTGTGTAAGATATCATGAACTTATGTCTGATATGAAATACAGCATAACCCCCCATATTATATTTCCAACACCAATATTTCGTGATTTTATTTTTTTTTTAATTTCCCAACCTCGCAGATGTGTTATTAGGTATTTTTCAAAGAGTTCGAAAAAATGGGATACAAAATAAAATTACACTTCGAAACTGACCTTCAGGTTGAAGAATTATGTCATCACTAGTACGACCCGGCCATGGCGGTTAGAGAGGATACTACCTTATCGGACCTTATTTGGACGGACATTACATGAACGGACATAATTATGAACGGACATTAATATGAACGCTCGAAGGCTTTCAAAACCATCAAAAATCCGAATTTTTAAAATTTTTATGACGTTTTTTAAATTTCAGCAAACGATTTTTAAATCTATTTTTTATACAGTAAGTAAGAAAAGCAGTCATCAAGCAGTAAAATTTTTAACATATGTGTACATGATCAGTGTCTAACATCACATATCATCTTCATCAAATGGGTTTTCGTGCATGAAATAGTCCATGCTTAAAGCATCAGTGATTTCTAGCTTTATGGAAACCTTTTCTATCAAACTACCCCTGTTCTGCATTTCAGTGTTAACTTTTACAAGCCATTCGGCGTGAAGTGGTTTTATCTTAGGCAACTTAAGGTTAACCTTAACATCACGTGGAGCTTTCCTAGCACTGTTTCATTACCGCCCCCGAGTAATATGAACTATAAGTATAACAACTTCGGACAATGTCCTTGGCAACACGATTTACCGTATAGTAATATCTAGAGGCTGGAACAAGTTTGTCATGTTGGCGGGGACTAGTTCATGAACTATGTTGATGAGCTATAATTTCGTTGAATTTTTTCCGCCAAGTGACCCTTGAAAACATCATATACTAGTAAAGTCTTCTGTGCCTCCGGTAGACCAAGGAGAACCTTTCAATTCTGTCATATTCTGGACAAAAAGTTTGAAATGGAAAAATTTTTGAAAAAATTTCAACGGACTTTAACATGGACGGACATTAATTGAACGGACTTTATTTGAACGGACATTAAGGTGAACGCTAGGGCCTCCAGCGTTCAAGTAATGTCCGTCCAAATAAGGTCCGATAAGGTATATAAAACACTGATAAAGTTCCGGGATAAGTGTGTAGTTATTTTAACATAACCTAAAGACGTGTGAAGTGTTCTAATGTACCGTTACAATAGTGACTTTAATATACTCCTCCCGTCCTCCGGGATACTGATACAATTTCATTCTCGTTATTTGGGATCAGTGTAGTATGGGAAATGTAAACATTGTAGTGTCCAGTAGAAAGCAACACGGCTCTCGACAGTGAAACAAGGCAAATGACTGGTAAACATACACTGTAGATTAAAATAATAAGCTGCTCTAAACTACCATGTTTAGCCAAGTTGGGGTCCACCTTATTTTCTTGTTCCAGTTCCTATAATTGGGCTGGCCTACTAAGTGAGATCCTTGTAATTTATAATTAGTAATCTTAGTATAATACCGATGAGTACTTTGTAATACATTGTACACAATAACGTAAAATGTAAAATGTTGCCAGATAACCGAGTATTTGGTTAATGCCATGATATAGGGCAAGCTATACTCGCTCGCAAAACATAACTTGTCACAACTCAGATAAGGTGCGAACCAATTGCAATGTTTCAGTGTTTAGTAGCCAAACATCCTGTCTCGCGCGCAACAGTCAAATAAAATGTCGTTTACTAAAAGTAATAATTGTTGCCGCTCTCTTTCTCTCTCTCTAGCGTCGTGCTGCGAGACATGACACGTTTTGTATGATATCACGGGAACATTATTAATGAACGTTTGAATTTCAAAATTAAATTTAGAAATACTGTTAGCTTGTTCCGAGATCTCTCCCATGAGCCCTACACCAAGGATGAAGATTTAAAGACAGGACATCTTCTCTTTTTCGCAACAATTTTAACAAACAAATTTCACGTAACGCCATTCGAATTTCGATTACCGCCTTTTTATTCGACTTTACAATAATAAAAAGTAAGCTATGCTGATAACATTAAACCTATCCTGAGAACCTTCCCTCATCTTAGTTGCGCATTTGTAACTTACTAGCGCTGCGCTCGTTCGTTCCTACTACATATTAATAATTAGTAACTAATTAATACTATACTACATATAAATATAATATTATATTCTCTCTCGCGTACATTTATTGGCGTAACGTATCTCAGTAACGTTAGATCTTATATTGAATATTTGACGCACACTCGTTTGAGATGCCATAAATTAACATATCTAGTTACATTGTATCACCTCGGACATATCTCATCGGCCAGCAGGGACTGATGGAGCTGGAATGCTGCCCATATTAGGAGTTGACATACCACGTGATGCCCTTATTAGGAGTTATTAGGAGTTGACATACCACGTGATGCCCTTATTAGGAGTTATTAGGAGTTGACATACCACGTGATGCCCATATTAGGAGTTATTAGGAGTTGACATACCACGTGATGCCCATATTAGGAGTTATTAGGAGTTGACATACCACGTGATGCCCATATTAGGAGTTATTAGGAGTTGACATACCACGTGATGCCCATATTAGGAGTTATTAGGAGCTGACATACCACGTGATGCCCATATTAGGAGTTATTAGGAGTTGACAGAATATTACTACTAAAAAACTAAAAACCACCCATTTATTTAGTCAATGTGTGCACTGTGCGGTGAACACATTCACCGTGAAATTTGCTCTCCATCAGTGTTGTGAGAAGGTTGTTTATTGTCTGGTTAAGTGCATGATCCCCCCCCCCCCCCCCCCCGTTAAGTTCCAACTTGGCAATGTTCCAACTTGGCATTCTGATTGGTACCACCCACTAAAGAATTCTTTGCTACACGTGCAGTGCTGCCATATCGTCGTCACGTGACCAATAGAACAACCTCAACCCGTGACTGACTTTTTAATAATTTTTACAATCCCTACATTTTATTTTTGCATCACCCTGTATAATGTATAATGTATATTTAATATATTTAATACTGTATGTACATAATATATACATGTATATTGATCAGCCGACGAGACAATTTCCCTTGTCAAATATAAAACTTAAATGTAAATTAACAGTCAGCAGATAGTTTACAGAGGGTGCAGGGACATGTTACTGACAACCCCTTGTAGCTTTTAGACGAACAGAAGATTGCGATTACCAATAAAATCAATATGTTTCAGACCCCCCTAAACACCCCCCCCCCCCCCCCCCCCACAATGCAAAGGTACACTAAATGTTAGTTCAGCTTGAGAGAAAAAACGATAATCTCACAATAGAACAGCGACATTGCAGAACTACCAATAATTACGGGTAATAATCATGATTATATTTAGGAACATTAAGTAAATGAAGGTTGTCACTGTTTAGGAACATTTAGTAAATGAAGGGTTTAATCATCACTAACAAGTTACAGCTATTCAGAATATTTAGCACCTCGATAAGGTGAGTGGGTGTGTGGTAAAAAGCGTAAAAACATGATACTCTGCCAAGCTAAAAGCAAGGGTAATTCGTTAAATACTTACTTATTACTTATACGTACCTACTGATAGATACACTAGAAGGTAGTAAATCCTGTAGCGTTTATAAAATGGAGGACTATTTAAATGTGCTAAAGAAACAACACATCATACAATATATGAATAAAGGAAAAACAAACCAACTAAAGAAAGAAAGAAAGAAAGACAATTAAAGATGGTAGAATTAACGTTTAGAGATAAGAAGGATATTTAGTTCAATAAAGGAAAAACAAACCAACTAAATACAATTAAAGATGGTAGAATTAACGTTGAGAGATAAGAAGGATATTTAGTTCAATAAAGGAAAAACAAAGCAACTAAATAAAGACAATTAAAGATGGTAGAATTAACGTTTAGAGATAAGGAGGATATTTAGTTCAATAAAGGAAAAACAAAGCAACTAAAGAAAGACAATTAAAGATGGTAGAATTAACGTTTAGAGATAAGGAGGATATTTAGTTCAATAAAGGAAAAACAAAGCAACTAAATAAAGACAATTAAAGATGGTAGAATTAACGTTTAGAGATAAGGAGGATATTTAGTTCAATAAAGGAAAAACAAAGCAACTAAATACAATTAAAGATGGTAGAATTAACGTTTAGAGATAAGGAGGATATTTAGTTCAATAAAGGAAAAACAAAGCAACTAAATAAAGACCTAAAGATGGTAGAATTAACGTTTAGAGATAAGGAGGATATTTAGTTCAATAAAGGAAAAACAAAGCAACTAAAGAAAGACAATTAAAGATGGTAGAATTAACGTTTAGAGATAAGGAGGATATTTAGTTCAATAAAGGAAAAACAAAGCAACTAAAGAAAGACAATTAAAGATGGTAGAATTAACGTTTAGAGATAAGGAGGATATTTAGTTCAATAAAGGAAAAACAAAGCAACTAAAGAAAGACAATTAAAGATGGTAGAATTAACGTTTAGAGATAAGAAGGATATTTAGTTCAATAAAGGAAAAACAAACCAACTAAATACAATTAAAGATGGTAGAATTAACGTTGAGAGATAAGAAGGATATTTAGTTCAATAAAGGAAAAACAAAGCAACTAAAGAAAGACAATTAAAGATGGTAGAATTAACGTTTAGAGATAAGGAGGATATTTAGTTCAATAAAGGAAAAACAAAGCAACTAAATAAAGACCTAAAGATGGTAGAATTAAAGTTTAGAGATAAGGAGGATATTTAGTTCAATAAAGGAAAAACAAAGCAACTAAAGAAAGACAGTTAAAGATGGTAGAATTAACGTTTAGAGATAAGGAGGATATTTAGTTCAATAAAGGAAAATGTTAGAATTCTAATTGCCTTGTTGACACTTAACATATTAGCATAGTTCGTGTTGTGTTCACACTAACATGGAACCAGAAAACACTCGTTGTAACCGCTACTGACTACTAGTATCTAACTAAATGTTTATTGTTTACCACGATCATTTCCAAGATCATTTGACAAGTACTTTTCTGAACAAAAAATTGTGTGCGTAAAATTTGGCGGAGAGGGCCCGAGGGCCGTCAACATTTTTTGTTAACAAAATTTTTGGAACCTAAAGTATGTGATATTCACAATACAAGAAACAAGTTGGGAACTAAAGTATGTGATATTCACAATACAAGTAACAAGTTGGGACCTAAAGTATGTGATATTCACAATACAAGTAACAAGTTGGGACCTAAAGTATGTGATATTCACAATACAAGTAACAAGTTGGGACCTAAAGTATGTGATATTCACAATACAAGTAACAAGTTGAGAACTAAAGTATGTGATATTCACAATACAAGTAACAAGTTGGGACCTAAAGTATGTGATATTCCCAAGTTGGGAACTAAAGTGGGGGGGAGCCAAGTGGATATTTGTAGATATTTGTAGATTAATGTAGAACGGATAATCCACGAAAAAACTGGATGACATTCTACAAATTTATACATTTATCTCCAAAAATTCAGTAGAATTTCTGGGCACATATTTGAGATTACATTTTTTGTAGATAAATGTAGATATTTGTAGATTATTGTCAATGGATAATTCACGAAAATTCTACAAATTCTACAAATTTATACATTTATCTCCAAAAATTCACTAGAATTTCTGGGCACATATTTGAGATATACATTTTTTGTAGATAAATGTAGATAAATGTAGATAAATGTAGATATTTGTAGATTATTGTAATGGATAATTCACGAAAAAAGTGGATGACATTATCCAAATATCTACAAATATCCACTTGGCTCCCCCCTAAAGTATGTGATATTATTCATTATCCAACAAGTTGGGAACTAACTTTTCCTCGGGGTTGGTATCGTTGTAAGGCTCATATTCGTTCTCGGACATGTAGCCATCCTCAAACCCGCCGAATGTCATCTCGGACATTTCACTTGTAACACTCCGCATATCATCGTCACTGAAATTAAGTCATTAATTAGCTAATTAACTAATTAATTAATGAGGATACCGAAATAAAACCGGGTTTCAAGGTACCTTTTGCGAAATACAAAAAATTGTACTTTTGATCCTTAGAATCCATATTTAATATTTTGTATTCTAAACAGATATCGTTAGTCACTAGATAATATACCTTTCATATTTTAAAGTTCGAAAATGTTAATGTTTGACCAATTTATAAGTTTCAAGGTATCAAATGCCCAAATCTTATGCTAAGAAGGGGGTACCCCCGCTAAGATGGGGGTACCCCCGCTAAGATGGGGGTACCCCCGCTAAGAAGGGGGTACCCCCGCTAAGAAAGGGGGTACCACCGCTAAGAATCTATAACTTGATATTTTAATAGCTTTAGTTAAATGACATTCGGAACCGGAGAAGAATTGGCAATCATGAGTCAAATCGGAAACATGCAATTTTATAATGTTCGGCACTACTTTGCGACAACTCTCCGCTCCCGGCATGTAACGGGCTGTGAGGAATGAAGCTGTTTCGTGCTGTTCATGTAGTTGAGTTGAAGAAGCGTACATTGTTGAGATGATTGACACTATAACTAGTTGAATTTAATGCAAAAAAGGTCTCTGAGCTCATTCCCTTCATAAGTAGTATGTAGTATGTAGTATTCCCTTCATAAGATCTACTCTCTCTCTCTCTCTCTCTCTCTCTCTCTCTCTCTCTCTCTCTCTCTCTCTCTCTCTCTCTCTCTCTCCTCTCTCTCTCTCTCTCTCTCTCTCTCTATCTCTCTCTCTCTCTCTCTCTCTCTCTCTCTCTCTCTCTCTCTAAGCTCATTCCCTTCATAAGTTGTATGTAGTATGTAGTATTCCCTTCATAAGATCTACTCTCTCTCTCTCTCTCTCTCTCTCTCTCTCTCTCTCTCTCTCTCTCTCTCTCTCTCTCTCTCTCTCTCTCTCTCTCTCTCTCTCTCTCTCTCTCTCTCTCTCTCTCTCGTCTCTCTCTCTCTCTCTCTTCTCTCTCTCTCTCTCTCTCTCTCTCTCTCTATCTCTCTCTCTCTCTCCTCTCTCTCTCTCTCTCTCTCTCTCTCTCTCTCTCTCTCTCTCTCTCTCTCTCTCTCTCTCGTCTCTCTCTCTCTCTCTCTCTCTCTCTCTCTCTCTCTCTCTCTCTCTCTCTCTATCTCTCTCTCTCTCTCTCTCTCTCTCTCTCTCTCTCTCTCTAAGCTCTTCCCTTCATAAGTTGTAGAGTTGAAAACCCCCATAAAATCTCTCTCTCTCTCTCTCCTCTCTCTCCCCCCCTCTTCTCCTCTCTCCTCTCTTCCTCTCTCCCTCTCTCCCCTCTCTCTCTCTCCTCTTTTCTCTCTCTTCCCCTTTTTTTTTTATGTAAGGGACTAAATAAGCAGAAACATCAACGGCATCACATAAATAAATTGTACACGGTTTCAGTCAATATTTTCATTAATCCCATTAATCAAGTGTATCTCAAAAAAGTCATCATCTTAATATCCAATAACGCTCATAGCGCCATAAAGCAGATACCCAGACCCACACAATTACTTTTCCATAACAATATGCCGACAATAACGAGCTAATGGGTATTAGCTTTTTCACTATGAAAAAAAGTTAAACAAACACGGAGAACAAGCATGCGTCCTCTAATAAAGATTTTTCTTATTCCTCCACTTGTTCCATGAACATGATGGTGTCCTCCAGGACGAATCATTTGAGAGTCCACATTCGTCACAGTTTACCTGAATGATAGACTTCTAGATGATGGGCAATGAAACTGTCCAGCCTATTTTGAAGGCGGGAGAGTTTGTCCGGCCACCTTGACCATAGAAATATCCTAGAGACGTTAAATTCTTGTTGTAGTCAATCCTCTTTAGTTTTTACCTTAACAAATTTTTAACGCCCAATATCCGGCTCATGAAACATGCTTCTTCACTAAACAACTCTGTTTATATCTCATCCACTTATCCCTCAGTGCAAATTAGTTTCTTGCTTTTTGAGTGTTGTTTTGCATGCAAGTTCAGCTCAAACTTTCAAATGTGAACAGTGAGCATGCACTAGACCAAGTTGTCTTGAAGCATGAGCACACTAAGGCTGATAAATAACCAAGATTGACTTTTTTACGTTCTACTTCTCTCTGACTTTACCCAACTTATTAGCTAGTTGGAAACTGTGCCTGAACTTATTTTTTGCATTTCAACGGGATAATTGACCTTATTTACCTTACGTCTATTGTCCCCTGTCTATTTGTCCGTTTGTCTCCCTGTCCTTTTTGGTCCTTTTTGACCTTTTTGTCCATTTTGTCCCTGTCTTTTTTGTCCTATTTTGGTCCCTTTTTTGTCCAGTCTTTTTTGTCTTTTTTGTCTTTTTTGTCTTTTTGTCCTTTTTTTCTCCTATAAATCTTTTTTTGTCCCTTTTGTCCCTCTTGTCCCTATTTGTCTTGTCTTTTGGGTTTATCAGTAAGTTTTTTGTCAGGGGGATAAAATGACAGTGGTAACCCCCCCTAAATATACTGTTTGACATTTCCTGTAAGCTTTATACTATGAGATTTGCCACAAATGGTAGTATGTTGTCACACTTTAAATAGATTAGATATAAGTTGACGTGGCAAAGAGTGTGCGTCTGTCGCTATTGCTCACACCAAATGGCACCTAAGTAATATGTTTTGTATGGACCACCATCTTCCATCACGATACAAAATTAGGATTGTTAGAATTTATTGAATTAAACTTTTAGAGCAGTTGAGGTGGCGGTGTGTGCACTAATACAGTGACAGCCTACAGATTTAGAGTTGTTTTTAAGTGAGCATGAAGAAATTGGTTGTACCAATCTGATAGATCTGCACTGATGTATCCTCACGAGTTCTGAGCACAGTGCAACGAACAATTCTTTGATGTCTGTGTTAACCCACCCCAACTCACCCACAAAAGACAAAAAGATATGGAACAGATCTAAAAGCTCATGAAATGAGGAAAATAAAAAGTACAACAACAATCATCCAGGTGGAAAAAAGTCACCAATTACCCCACTTAAAGAACTCCAATCAAATGGCGGATGGGGTCCACAACCTCAGATACCACCAGAGACTCACTGAAAAACTATCCCAGAAGGAAAGACTATGCGCTATTATGTTTAACATGCGCACCAGGAATTAGATTCACAATCCTCAGGAGCACCCTGATAGCGTCAGGGTGAGAGAGGGAGACGGTCAAACGTATACATTGCCAGTCATGTAACTTCGATTTTAACTTGATACCTGCCACCAATCACCATGGACTATGAATTTTCTAACACATCCTTTTGATATTGGAGATATTGTAATCTCAGATCACGTGTTCATTCTTCCTTTTTTAGACAACAGTAATTTATTGACACTCACACTATAAAGGGGGGGGTGTCCATGTCCGTCATGTCCGCCATGTTCCTGTCCTTATGATTCTATGAGACAACGTACGGTGTTTTTTGGGACATAGGCCGGACACGGACGGACATAGGCGGACTCGGACGGACATTGGCGACTCTCGACGACATTGGCTGACCGGACGGACATTGGCGGACTAGGATGGACATTGGAGGACATTGGTGGACATTGGTGGACATTAGCGACAAACATTTGAGGACTGAAGAATAACTGACGAGTACTGAAGGAATGTCTGAGAAAGGATGGCTGAGAGGCTGGCAGAGAGGAGACTGAGGAGGATGAAACTGAGAGGATGACTGAAGGAGGAGACTCAGGATGAGGACTCCGAAGGAAGAGGAGGGAGACTCAGAGGAGGACTCAGGAGGAGGACTAAGGAGAAATGAGAAGGAGGACTGAGGAGAAGTGAGAGGAGGAGGAGGAGGAGGAGGACTGAATTGGAGGAGAAGGGAGGGGGGACGGGGAGTGGCTGGGGAAGGAGGAGACTGATGAAGGGATGAGAGGAGGACCCAGGAGGAGGAACTGAGGAGCGAGGTAGGAGAAGAATAGAGTAGGAGGACCCAGGAGGAGGAGGAGTGAGGAGGCGACTGGTAGGAACTGAGAGGAAGGCTAGGAGATGACGAGAGGAAGAGGAGGAGGGGAGAGGAGGAGGGACTCAGGAGAAGGAGGAGACTGAGAGACTGAGAAGGAGGAGGAGGAGGAGGACTGAATAGGAGAGGAGGAGGGGACTGGGGGAGGAATGAGGAGGAGGATGGAGGAATGAGAGAAGATGATGAGTAGGATCTGAGGAGACTGAGGACTGAGGAGGAAAGAGGAGTAGATGAAGCGGAGAGGAGGGACCCCAGGAGAAGGACCCAGGAGGGACACGCGAATGGAGGAGGAGAGACTGGGGAGGAGAGGATGTATGAGGACTGATTGAGGAAGGACTGAGGACGAAGAGGATGAGTTAGGAGGAGGACTGAGGAGGGAGGAGAAAGAGGACTGAGGAAGTCAGGAAGACCCAGGGGAGGAGGAGGAAAGTAAAGAGGAGGAAGCATCTAAATGTTATTTCCATTTTTGTCCGTTTATTGTTCCTTTTTTGTCCGTTTTTCCAGCTCTATTATTATGTCCGTTTTGAAAATAAGGTACCGAACGGACAAAAACATGATCCCCTAAACAGCATAAATTGAACATTTTATTTAGCACTTTAAGGTGTCCCATTAATGTCCGCCTATTTCCGCCTATGTCCGTCTATGCCCGCCTATGTCCGCCTATGTCGCTATGTCCGCCTAGTCCGCCATGTCCGCCTATGTCCTGTCCTTTTTGTTTCTATGAGTACAAGGCGGACATAGACGGACGTGACACCCCCCCCCCTATAATTTTAATCATGAATCAGTATTTTTCCCGATCCATGACTCAAAGTGCCGAAGGCACCAAAGAGTCCAAGGGACAAGGGTTAGCGAACGAGGTTTTTTTGTATTGGTAGCTTTTCGTCGTACTGCAGCGTGCCTGCGAGCGAGCTACTTGTCGCCCACGTGTCTGCCTGCGCAAAGTTATTTTGCGCGAAAATCTGAATTTAAAACAATTGTTTGGCGCGCGGTGCAGAAATGTTCCAGACATTGTTATAATTTCACCATGTAAACGCATGCCGCTATGTACTAATTGATAGCATAGTAATATTATATTTGAGTTAGTAATACTATTTTTGCACAGGTCCAGTCAGTTTGCATACACAATAAACTAGTCATATGGTTACATAAAATAATACCCTATTTGTCAAATTAAATATGGAATTATATCAACGGCGGCGCTCGGCCTGTCACTCCGCCATATACTGCATGCTTCTAAACAGTAAAGACTGGGTCCCTAAAGGTATGGAATATGATCAAATACTCAAACACGATCGGTAAATTGGAGCGGTCCATCCACAAAAGAAAAGCGGCCCGCATTTCTTGTTATCTGAGCTCTGCGTAATGCATCACAATGAATCAGTTTTTAATCTATTAACTTTATTAACAACATTTGTGCTCTGCTTTAGCTTCAACTGACTATTTTAAAAAAAATTGTTGTTTCATGGCCATGACCTAATAGCAGACCAATGGCCATTGCTGAAATTGAATGTAATTGATTCATTCAGGTCTACCTATAATTTAGTGAGGCATAATGGGTATAATGTTTGGACCTAAGGCTTTAGTATGGCAACTTAAAATTGGGTTCTTTAATCTTTAATAAATATCAGTTAAAAATATATAAATCTGGGAAATCTGTTCACACTGTGAACCAGTCCTATAAAATAAAATTTCAAAAACCAGTTTATTTAAATATTTAAAACGGCTCAATAATGGAAATAGTCATAAACAATTAAGAAATTTACCAAATTCTTAATATCTACCTAAGAGAAAAATACCTAGTCATGTCTACTGTAAAACACTAACTATTTAGGTTAAATACATTTAACAGGTGATACTCGATAAAATTATCTGTTCCATATAGTCCAAATATCTGTTCCATCATATGGACGATTCACCTCGGCGTGGCTCTGATTGTAAACCTACAAAAATACAAGGTGGTGAGTCCCAGCACCATTAATAATTGTACCGTAAGATTTTTGATTTTTTTGTTGGGGACTGGCCCTTGGTTCCATAGGCCAATGATTACTCAAACAATAAATCGCGCCCGTTTGTTTGTATCTTTTGGCGACGCTAGATTTCCGTACACTAATTTTATAAATATAAGATCTAATCAGCTCACTGCCAAAATAATAATAAACACTATGTACACTAACTACGAGTACGCATGCCACGTACAAATTGGGCTCTTACCTAATACTATACATTAATTAATACTCTCACGCCGCGCATTTATTGACATGCTCGCTAAATACATCATTATCTCCGCAAGTAATACACGCGCGGCTTGCACTGCGCGCGTAGTTGTCATGGTAACTACCGAAAGGACCGGACGACATATTTATACCCACCTATCACGTTCTCCAAAATCCACACGTTTTATCTGCAAAAACGTCCATTTCGTAAACCTTTCACTATTGGTCTTTTTACAAAAAGAGTGTGAACGGAAAAAATATATAAAAAAAACGTTCACTTTGACAAACCATAACTCTCCACCAATCAAGTCAAATTTCAATTTTAAAATATCAAAAGAAAGTAGAGAATTTCGCCAACAAGAAAGGGGACTCCTGGATAGGTAGGTAAAAACGCGATCTTCGTCCTCAAAATCGACTTTTAAAACTTCATACATTTTCCGCCGAAATTATAAGTCTTATATCGCAAAACATCCCCCTACCTCCCTGCAACTCCCCCCCCCCCCCCCCCTTTCCACTTCCCCCCCCCCTTCCTTCTGCTTTCTTTTGCAGCTGAACTATGAACTCTTAGCTCTCTCGCCTACCCAGAAAACCTTACCGCCTGCTGGGCTTGCTAGAGGTTATAGATTTTCAACAGCACGTTGGGCGTCGCGCGTCACATCGAGTTTACCTTTCACACGCTGCATTTAGTTTAGTAGTCATGACAACGACATGACTTTGCAAAGTTTAAAAGCTGCAATCTTTAATTTAGCCAAAAATCAAACTTTTTGGTTTAATTCAGAATCTAAATTGTCCCCAATTGTCCTCCTGGGGAGGCTCCTTTAAATTTACGAGACGGACATTTTGTTGAAAACCGGAAGGTTCTATCTATTTTACTTTTGGAGATATACCCCAGCCGGTAGGGTTTCCTGGGAATATTTGACGATGTCAATTCTTCGCAGCTCGGCAAGGCCCTTGCTCTAACCAAAGCCCTTTCGCTTGCAGTAGCGCGCGACCGCCGAAGGCAAAGGAGGATATATTCAACTTGTGAAACAAGCGCGTCACGCAGTACGCGTACACATGGCTATGTGAAGCAAGGCCCAGTAGCGCATTTTGCCGATTTAACGAAAAATTATTGGATGCAAGAAGCATTATTGGATGCGCGGCGCGGCACTTAACGGGTGATACTCGTAAAATATTTGTTCCAGGACCGTCGACGAGTCCAACTCGGCGCGCGTCCTGGAACAAATATTTTACGAGTATCACCCGTTAAGTGCCGCGCCGCGCATTCAATAATGCTTCTTGCATCCAATAATTTTTCGTTAAATCGGCAAAATGCGCTACTGGGCCTTGCTTCACATAGTTATGTGTACGCGTACTGCGTGACGCGCTTGTTTCACAAGTTGAATATATGGTAGGTTGTCCTACAATTCAGGATTAAACATTAAAGTTAGGGTTAGGGTTTGGATTGGGGTTTACGTAAAACCGTATTTGGTATTGCATATTGTTCGGCTGCAAAACAATAAAACCAAATTCACGTGATACTTTTTGGGTGAGCTAATTAGTAAACGCCACTAACTTCACATCAACATGTCAAAGTGCTTCAAACGAAATAAAATGCTAATAAACCAGTTACACAATACACAACACAATTACAATTTGCTGAGCTACTACAGTTAGCTTAGCGAATTGTGTACGCTGTACGGCTTATTTATTCAGTTTTATTTCATTTGGGATACAGAGGTGCGAAAAAAACTTTGTTAATATAGATAGTCTAGATTTGAACTTGGAGCCACAAGGTCAAGGGTGATTTTCAAATGTTTCTTCCAATATTTGAGATATTATATAATTATTGAGTTTTTGAAGGGTTATCTTTATATTTATATAGGGTCATTGTGACATTATGTGTATACTGTCATTGTGACAATTATGTGTATATTGTTTGAATAATTTACATTTTTATGTGTATACTGTTTAAAAAAATTGTATTCGTTTTTAAGTTATATTTCATTTGTCAAATTATTCTATTTTCAGTTAAATTCTTGTTTCTACTAAATATTTCCTTCGTCTTGTTGTTTTGCACAAGTTTACTTATGCCATTCAATGCAAGTACGAAAGACGTTCATTTTCAAATAGAATTAGAAAATCTCTGAATTTCTTGAATCAATGTAATTTTACTCTTAGATTTCCGACAATTAAATGGAGAAATATTTAAAGAATGGACAAGAAATCTTCGAAGCTTTCTGTTTGTCGACCGACAAAATCCCAGTCATGTTTCCTAGAGCCCCAGAACAAACTTATATTGATGTATATCCCGATGACGATCAAACAGGAGCTAATTTCAAGGACGATAGACAACGACAGTAAACTATGAGGCTGAAGTCAGGGTTTACCGTGCTCTAGAAAAACTCGACAAACATTTTATTGTTCTCCATAACTTCGAGTACACACACCACCAATATCGCTTGTGTGACCAAAATCATGTCCGGAAGGGATGTCCAAAGTGTAAAGGGAAAAACGCTGGAAACAAAGAAGGGGAATGTGACTTTTTGATCTTGGGCAGAAACTATGCTGTTATCATTGAAGTTAAAGACATGGCATCACTAGGAGTGAAAGATACGGTCAATGAATCCGCATTAAACCAAATTGAGGTGAGTGAAATTAACAGGTTACAGCAGCTGCAAGCTTTGAATGGAACCTTTCACAAATCACTGGATCAGAGGAAAAGAATGGAGGAACTGATTCACTGTATCGATGAAAATATGACTGTCCTTCACTTCACTGCATATCCAAATTTCAGCAGGCACTTCCAGAATGAGTTTCAGTTGGCGGATGCAAAAATATCTTCAATCATTTTTGAAGAGCATCTTATAAAACTTGCTGAAGAAAAATCAGTAAATTACATTACAGATCTATTGGAAGTCAAAACTGAAAACCAACATTCACCACCAAACTGTAGATCTGTATCTCAAAGAGAGTGGTACAACATTGAACAAACTAACTGCAATCAACAAGGGACCTCATTAGAAGATACAGAAGAAGAAGAAACAGAAAGTGATGCAAATAAAGAGGAGATGACTGGAGAAGAAACAACAGAAAAAGAAACTGTTGATGAGGGTTTACAAGATGGTTTTGAAGAGGAAACAAGTGAAGAAGAAAGTTCTGATGAGGAACTCCTAACAGATAAAGAAATTAACAGTTTCAGTGTATGGTGGAAGAATAACATTAAATCTATCATTTTGGATGAAAACGATGCACAAGAGGAGTTGCTCAACAAACATAAGAAAGCAAGGAACATGTTACTTGCGATTTGGTGTACTGATAAGGACAAATTTGACAAAGAAAAATGTAGTTTGGACCAGTGTATAGTCACCATTAGCGAAAAATTACGAAGTGGAAAGTTCACTTTCAAAGGTAAAAACCCCAGTGTTATCTCAGCCCCTGCAGTAATCAAGGAATGTGTTGGAGTATCAAACTTAACTTCTCAGCAAACCAGCTTGTTTAATTCAAGTGAAAATTTATTTTGGATCAATGGATCCAGGGAAATCAAAATTTCATGTCATCATCGTACAAATAACGGGATATGTAAATCTTACATGGTTCACAAATTATACACTCCGCTTGCTGCAAGATTATCACGTGTTTGTTGACGATATTCAAGTTTTGATGGAATACGATGGAAGACTAGAACAATACAATGATCTGTTTGATACATTGCTGAATCTATCACGTTCTAAAACTGTCCGCATAGCTTGCGACATTGCACAGTATTGGTTCGTCACTGAAGACGCGGATATCTTCAACTTAGCAAGTTCATTAGCTAAACATTTCTCGTCGGGTCAACTGAAAACTCTATCTAAAAACTTAAGAAATACTTGTGACCTATCAAATATTCTGACGATACTAAGAAGTCAGTTTGTTGGATATTACACAAGTCCAGGACTCAGTTCTCACAGTTTGGATGCTTTACTCATGGTTTTACCTGAACAGCGACCAGGCCATTTCATTCATGGCCCCAAAACTGTAGTGCACATCATGAAGACCCATGACGAATCCTTGATAGTCAATATCCTAAACGATGAATTGGATAAACTTTGTAAAAGTTTTGATATATGCATAGTTCATGATAGTCTAATTGATGACGATGTACTGAACTTGGTTTCTCAAACTCTTGAAAAACGATGCGTTACGAAAGACAAAATAACTCTACTTGACAGTATGAATTGTTACTCAGCTGAGTGGCCAATAGTTATTGTATTGCATGAGATGACACAGTCAATAGTAGACATATCAACAAAAGATAACCTGGTATCACTTTATCTTCAAATATCACGTGCTCGTGTTTATTGTGTCGTTGTTCTATTCCCAGAGGACGGAAAAACTTTTAGACATAGACACATGCTGAGCGCAATTGAAAAATTAAAAGATTGTGCACATTTGATACTTCATTAGAGTTCTAATTGTCAATTGTGTTAATGAATGACAAATTTAGGATTTTTGTAGTTTCAGATACTTTTTATAACTTTTAGGTCAATTTCAGAGATCTTTAGACGACTATAACTTGAGTAATTTGAAGAATTTTAACCTATTATAAAACTATGAATTTGATAATTCTTAGCGTACTATGCTACTATGATCATGATTCTAGTCCATGATCTCCCATCATGGACTAGTCCACCCTCTTCGGCTATAATATTAATTTCAGCAAAGCTCGCTTTCTTTTATTGTAAAATAAATTGGTTTGAAAATTTTCTTGAGACAGTCGAGATTAAGTGATCTGTCTCTTGATCTGTCTTCTTACGATCTGTTTTTATCAAATACCAGCTTATTGTCCATAACTAACCCAAGGTTATTAACAGTAGGCACAATCATTACCAATGTGTTAGGAACGATTTCAACCCTGGAAGTCCTATCTCATTGAGCACTTTACTTGGTCCAAAGCCTATAAGTTGAGTTTCACAAAGCCTATAAGTTGAGTTTCACAAAGCCTATAATTTGAGTTTCAGATTCAGCTGCAGATGGTATTGAGACTCCCTATTCTCTATCCTCACGAAGCAATTTTTAAGTTGGTTTGCTAAGGTTTTGACCTGATCTGAGTTTTTGAAAGATTTCATGATTTGATGAACATCTGCATAACCAATAATAAGATCTTGTATTTAACTAAAGCGGTTCCTCGGACTTTAACTCTGGTTCTATTGAAGGAGCTGCTTTCTTTTAACTTATATTTTCTAAGGATGTAAAAAGCTGCTTTCTTTTAACTTATATTTTCTAAGCTGCTTTCTTTTAACTTATATTTTCTAAGGATGTAAAATGAGCAAGGTATGGAGAAGGCTGCAGCGTGTTGGTAAAACTGCCTACAAGTTCGAATTCACCATAAAAGTACACACTGTTACTCTTGAATGTGTTTCTGGATGGTAAGCTGTTATTTTCTATTTATAATCATAAATATATGCCCAAATTTTCCCTAGAGGGAAGTTCTTGTTTTCTTTAGAATTCAAGATTGTAATATACTTAAGATTTCCTTGACACCATGTTGAACTTATTCCTCAGCTAACCTAACATTATTCTACAGGACTCCAAATCAAGTGTCAGTGCTGTGGGTTAGAAGGGGGAGGAAGGTTCGAACTGAGGTAAGTTCTGGTTGTGGCCGGGGGGCGGGGGGGGGGGGGGGTCTAGCTCTGGTTACTTTTGATATATTGTCCTAATCTTCATGTTATAGCTTAATTAAATTGTTTAGCATCTTAACCCTGATGATCGTACACTATTATAAGTTGTTGGGTATCAGCATTACATATGCACATAATATGATGAATTTTCTAAATTTCAGGCAACATCATGGACAACCCTACCTGGGAAGGACACGCAAGGAGTTGTAAACTGGCACGCTCTGGAGGCAACCATCACACTTTACATGGTTTGTTGAATAATAAAAACTTTGAAGATTGATGGTTTGAATGCAATGTTACACTTGACTAAGATTGTTTACATATGGGCAATTTCATGAAACATGAACAAGGAGGGAAAAAAATAAATTTCAGTTATGGCACTAGCTTTGATTGGAGTCTGAAAGAGAAGATTATAAACTGTTAGACACAAAAAACCGCTTATAAATATCTCACTTCGTTTCTGTGTTATCGCGTTTTCAAAATACCCATAAATTGTCATGTTTTACAGGCTAAAACTACTTTATAATAAAAGCTGTTTACTAAAAAGAGATTGTTGTAATATTCATTAATTCTTGATCTGTAAAGGTGCATACCACTTCACTGAAGCTGTATGCAAAATTTGGGACTCAAAATTTAAGCAGATTCGGAGCAATGCTATTCTACTTTCTCCTGTTTTTAGTGTAAATTACTATACATAAAAAACAAAAAAGTTTTCTGCTGGCCACATTTCATGTTATTTCTTGCTGAAATCTTGCTAAAACAAGCTAACTCTGATTTCAAGACATAATGTACTTGTTTATTTAGATCCATAGATATCAGATCATGTCAATACCAGCGTCAAGTAAGTTACATGTCAAGTAATTTACGTGTCAAGTAATTTACACATATGCTTTTTATTCAGTAATAGTAGTAAAACACAACAAGTAACGATTGTCAAACAGAATAAAAGTTATTTAAAAGTGATAATAGATTGGTTCTGGTCAGAATTTCATTAAAGAAATCTATAAAAATGGTTTAAAATGGTTAAAAATTGACTTTTCGAAAATATAATATAAATAATACTTTACTTTACAGAAAATCCAGTGGCCTGCTTGAACACAAATTTTTGAGCTGGGAAACATTCGTACATTTACGCCCACCTACCTACTCTGTATAACTGGGCTAACTGTGGACCCAATCAGTGGATCAATCAACCAATTAAGGGGGCCGGGGGGTCTTCATCAAAATTCCCTCGAAATTGACTTTTTAGTTGTTTCTGATAGAAGGGAGTGATATCTATCAGATGCTTTTGGTCCCATGGAAAAATATTATTCCTAGCCGAACTTATTGTCGGTCAAAGGTCAGCACTTATGCGTAATTGTATTGCGCGAGCGATTTTCAATCACGTGTCCTGAAAATCGAGTCTAAAAATCTATTTTCTCCTACATGTTTTGAGCAATCACCCTGAAACTTTCAGGATATGTTCTAGAGATAATTTAAAAGAGATGAGCCAAACAGAATTTTGAGATAGGCCTTTAAACATATTTTATTTGATTTTGAAAATCTTGAACCTCGTTTTTTGACGATTTTTTGAGGTCCAAGATTTTTTTAAATTGAAAATCGCTTGCGCAATACAATTACACATAAGCGCTGACATTTGACCGATAATAATTTCGTCTAGGAACAATATTTTTTCATGGGACCAAAAGCATCTGATAGATATCACTCCCCTCTATTAGAAACAACTATAAAGTCAATCTCGAGAAAATTTTGATGAAGGCCCCCCCCGGCCCCCTTAATTGGCTAATGATAAACTGATATATCATTATTAATCATATATTACATAGTTCATACACTTAGCAAACGAATTAAAGACAAAGGGGCAGCTTTAAACAGTTAAAATCAAAGGATTGTGTAACAGTGTAAACTACTTGACACAAAAGAGTAACTTACTTTACAAGGAACAAAGGCTTCTACAGAACACAGCTATTAACCATTTACCAAAACAAACCCTTTCCAGTACAGGCAAGACATTTGCCAGTGTGCATGAAAAATATTTAAATGTTTACTCTCACACCTGGGCACGAAATGAGATTTCAATACACGTTGGTCAGGAATGTCAATTTGTGCCCTGTAATTTACTTTACATTTTCAAACGTGCCTCACTCAAAAGCCATAGCAGTTGGAGTAAAAATCTTAATATAGCTGTGTGTGGAGTACATAGGAGATGTTTCATGCAATTTATTATGATTCTGTTATGTTTGTGTAATGCTTGAGAGTCAGAATAAGGCCAAATTTTTGTGCAAAGTGTAATTTACTTTACGTGAAATCGCCCATATAGAGGCCTGATTGTAATCTTCAAAAACTTTGAAGATTGATCATTGATGGTTTGAATGCAATTTTACACTTGACTAAGATTGTTTACAAAATACAAATAGAGAGGCCTGATTGTATGTGGTAAACAATACTTTTTAAAACTGGTTTGTTTTGTTCGGTGCAATTCTACTTATTTTGCAGAAGATTTTAATGAATAGTAGTATAGAAAAATAGAAGTTGCAAGGATGCGCGAAATTAATATAATTTGAAGATTTACTTTAAGAACAGAAAATATCTAAATTTAACCTGATATTAATCCTAGTACTTGTTGATTTTGTTGTTCAACATATTATAGTGTGTGGAATGTAGTAATGAACTTTTAACTTTTCTACTTTTGTAGCAGTAACATACGTGTTACGCCAAAAGGAAGCCTTGAAATATGTGCAAAATATTTTCAAGTTCACATAAATTCCAAGTACAGAAGTCGAACAATTATTACAGTGTTTTGTTCGTATTACTAAGAAGCAGGTTCAACATCCTTGGATACGAGAACCAGCCCATTTTGGACCTGGCTCGCGTCCGTTATGTGAACACATGCCGAGAGCTCAAACACTTCTTAAAATCCTTTATAATACACAACTACTTACTAAACTGTCATGTGAACCCTACCCAGGTTCTTGGTTGTCCGGCTGTTAGGATGGTTGTAATATGGATCACAAATGATACGTCACTGATTGGGCCATGTGATGTGATACCTGTGGGAGGCCGGAATGAGAGGTTCCTAGTTGTTGGTCACCGGATTCAACTGTGGAGTTTAAAGAAATATTACTGAATGCCATAGTTTTTATTTAGACACAGATAATAATGGGTCTAAATTTTCAAATGCTTTTATCCTTAAATATTCCGATCTGGAGATGTTGCGGGTCAAATTTTATGTATATTATGTAATATATACATTATACATTGTATACACTATATTGTATTATACACGATACATATTGTACACCATAGTACATAATAATGAATAATGATATGCACGATTTGAAGCGCAGCAGGTTATAAGAATGAACTCATCATCCGCAGCCGTCTTGTAATTGTAATAATATTACAAATCATTATCATAATTACTTGTAATTGTAATAATATTACAAATCATTATCATGATTATGCTGAACGTGTTACAAACATTTGAATATTATGAGACGCTAATGAAATAAACATATTTTAAATTACTCAATGTTACATCATATAACACTAGTGTAGAATGTAGATCTAACAATATTTAGTCTTAAATTACACCGCACAGTATTTGTAACATTGTAAGCTAATCTGTCAATTGCACTTCAACCACTTATTGCATCGGCTTTATTCACGGGTAAAATTTCAGTATTTAGTGACATTTACATTTATTACAAACGTAGGAGAGTTAGAATTAACCCAAATATCAGGGACACGAATGACTACTCCAGGATTTAAGAGACTAAACCTTCAACACTGAAAACATTCAGATTCTTGCCAAATATATTTCGATTGTAGTCATCTCCAGTGACATTGAACCGAAAAAATGTTAAAAGGTTAGTGAAACTCAAGCCGTTACAAAATTAAGAATCCGAAAAAGGTAAAAAGATCATTACAAACGTATTCTCTTGGAATGTAAAAACAAAGTAAACAAACCAACAGTTCTTATTTTTATTGCTTTTCAGGATACCAATTCCCAGAAGAAGAAGTTCGATGACAAATACTGGACTCTGATTGTGGAGAATGTGAGTTATTTAATTAGGTTAATTAAATGTGTTGTTAATTAATTGTATTGTTAATCAAATTTAACCACGCTTCGACATTAAAACATACCCCAAAAAGATATAATATATCCAGGCCATTCAAGCGCGACCTAGTACTATAGTACGTAGTGTATACCTAGCGTCTGGAAAATGAACATTGTGAACCTTAATTAAATATAAATATCTAATTCTAACACCTACCCAGGTTACTATACTAACTAATACATTTATTGTGAATGTAACACAAGGTACAGTGTTGATTGAGAGGCTTTCTCTTTCTCAATTTGATGAAATTCATCTAAAATGAACTCCACTTTACTATTCACTGATCAAAGCCTTATTGAAAGCTTTTCATGAAATTACTTTAAACCAGATTTGCTGATCAGAAATCTTTACTTTAGGCGATATTCTGAGAAATCTTTGACATTTGAAAAACTTCCCAATCAAGAAGAAGTATTTTTAGCAGTATTTTTCTACACACTTAGTTTAGAGAGGCACAAATTAAAATTACAAAATTCTAATGTGGCACATTATTTAGTATATATCTAATTATATATAAGTAATAAGATAATTATTCTACTTTCTACTTTCTACTTTGTTAAGGGGGCCGGGGGGGGGGGGGGGGGGGGGGGTCTTCATCAAAATTCTCTCGAAATCGACTTTATAGTTGTTTCTGATAGAGGGGAGTGATATCTATCAGCTGCTTTTGGTCCCATGGAAAAATATTGTTCCTAGCCGAAATTATCGCCGGTCTAAGGTCAGCGCTTATGTGTAATTGTATTGCGCGAGCGATTTTCAATCGCAAATTCTGAAAATCGGGTCTAAAAATCTATCTTCTCCCACATTTTTTGAGCAATCACCCTGAAACTTTCAGGATATGTTCTAGGGACCATTTAGAAGAGAATGATCATACAAAATTTTGAGATAGGCCTTTTAAAATTTTTTATTCAATTTTGAAAATCTTGGACCTCGTTTTTTTACGATTTTTTGAGGTCCAAGATTTTCAAAATTGAATAAAAAATTTTTAAAGGCCTATCTCAAAATTTTGTATGATCATTCTCTTCTAAATGGTCCCTAGAACATATCCTGAAAGTTTCAGGGTGATTGCTCAAAAAATGTGGGAGAAGATAGATTTTTAGACTCGATTTTCAGAATTTGCGATTGAAAATCGCGCGCGCAATACAATTACACATAAGCGCTGACCTTAGACCGGCGATAATTTCGGCTAGGAACAATATTTTTCCATGGGACCAAAAGCAGCTGATAGATATCACTCCCCTCTATCAGAAACAACTATAAAGTCGATTTCGAGAGAATTTTGATGAAGACCCCCCCCGGCCCCCTTAATGCATAAACTAAGAGAGAAGATCACAATACTCCATTAGATATTTAATCTAATCTAGATATATATTATATAAGTATCCTTTATGACATTGTCATTCAAATAGTTTAATCTGATACCAGGTTTATTTGAAAACCAAAATTTGTAACTTAATTAATTTATGACGCATATCAAGGGTTTGAACTTGAACCTCTCACAGTCCACAGATTAGTTATCTTATTTGAACCTCTCACTGATTAGTCGTCTTATTTGAACCTCTCACAGATAAGTCGTCTTATTTGAACCTCTCACAGATTAGTCGTCTTATTTGAACCTCTCACAGATTAGTTATCTTATTTGAACCTCTCACAGATTAGTCGTCTTATTTGAACCTCTCACAGATTAGTCGTCTTATTTGAACCTCTCACAGATTAGTCGTCTTATTTGAACCTCTCACAGATTAGTCGTCTTATTTGACCTCTCACAGATTAGTCGTCTTATTTGAACCTCTCACAGATTAGTCGTCTTATTTGAACCTCTCACAGATTAGTCGTCTTATTTGACCTCTCACAGATTAGTCGTCTTATTTGAACCTCTCACAGATTAGTCGTATTATTTGAACCTCTCACAGATTAGTCGTCTTATTTGACCTCTCACAGATTAGTCGTCTTATTTGAACCTCTCACAGATTAGTTATCTTATTTCAACCTCTCACAGATTAGCCCCCTTACTCTCACCTCCCACAGATTGGCCCTAATGGGAAGCACAAAGCTCTGGCCACTAAGAGGATCAACATGTCCCAGATGGCAGACCCCTCACTTCACCCTCAGGAGACTAGAAGAAAGTACAGGATGAAAACCTGTTGCTCGTAAAGTTCATCTGACCGAGGTAGGCACTACTGTAGCATTGGAATGTTACACTTAACAGTGAGCAAGGGGGGGGGGGCGGGAGGGTGGTGCCAATTGCATAAAATGGCATAAAATGGAGAACTACTCAAGGGTTTTTCAATTTTCTGCATAGAAAAAGTCTCCATTTTATACCATATTATGCCATATATGCATATTATGCCATTGCCCCCCCCCCCCCCCCCCCCCCCCCCGTGAGCAAGTTTAGTAAAGATTTGATGATCAGTTATTCAACGAGATATCACCCACCATATATTTTACTCGTGACTATGTATACTTCACAGTTAGTGTTGGGAGTTGTTTATCCTGGCAGATTCAAACCTTAAACTGTTATTATATTATGTGGTAACCAAAGAAATGATGTTTGTCTAGATGTTGTATTTACAGTTTGTTAGACTAAGTTAAGTACTAACAGCAGATGTATAAGCTGCTGGATCAGTATCTCGTGACATTAGCACTCAATTACCGTGGGCATACACTGTTTAGTGCCCAGATTTACCTTTCAGAAGTGTTTTTCTTCCCGATACTCCTAGCCATAATTTCCCACCACCAGCCTACTCGAGCGGATCCCAATTTTTTCGAAAAAATTACTTGATATTAGAAAATATAGGGAGTTTTAAAGTTACTGAGTTTATTGGATTTGGTCAGTTTAAAATGTGTGTGTATATAATAATATATTATATAAAAGGGATTAAAGTATTAAATTTGCCGGTTTGTGATCAATCTTCTTTCCTCTAGAGCATCTAGCATGTAACGGGCAGGCAGAAGTAGCGACTATCACAAGTATTACATAATATTTGGAGTTGATAGAATGTTCATCCTAAAGAACTCACCTCCTGGAATATTATTATTGTTTGCTTCCCCCGTCACCCAGTTAATCTGTATTATAAAGGTCAGATAGTATCCCGTCCAGATACTAGATATCAAATTAGCTGTATTATTAGTTATTAGGTGTAGGACTGTAGGTGTAAGCAACACATCAGCCGTTTAATGAGCCGTGACTGTTGTTAGCGGAATGCGCGGAATGCGTGACATGTTAGTTATGTAGCTAACTATCACTCTAACTCTATAACTCTATCAGCCTTCCTTGTGGGAGCATGATGCTGATATTTAGAATATTTTAATACTAATCTGCTAGCTGCAGAACACAGATCACACAATAAGCTGCAGAACACAGATCACACAATAAGCTGCAGAACACAGATCACACAATAAGCTGCAGAACACAGATCACACAATAAGCTGCAGAACACAGATCACACAATAAGCTGCAGAACACAGATCACACAATAAGCTGCAGAACACAGATCACACAATAAGCTGCAGAACACAGATCACACTATAAGCTGCAGAACACAGATCACACAATAAGCTGCAGAACACAGTTCACACAATAAGCTGCAGAACACAGATCTCACAATAAGCTGCAGAACACAGATCACACAATAAGCTGCAGAACACAGATCACACAATAAGCTGCAGAGCACAGATCACACAATAAGCTGCAGAACACAGATCACACAATAAGCTGCAGAACACAGATCACACAATAAGCTGCAGAACACAGATCACACAATAAGCTGCAGAACACAGATCACACAATAAGCTGCAGAACACAGATCACACAATAAGCTGCAGAACACAGATCACACAATAAGCTGCAGAACACAGATCACACAATAAGCTGCAGAACACAGATCACACAATAAGCTGCAGAACACAGATCACACAATAAGCTGCAGAACACAGATCACACAGTAAGCTGAAGAACACAGATCACACAATAAGCTGCAGAACACAGATCACACAATAAGCTGCAGAGCACAGATCACATAATAAACTGCAGAACACAGATCTCACAATAAGCTGAAGTACACAGATCACACAATAAGCTGCTGAACACAGTTCACACAATAAGCTGCAGAGCACAGATCACACAATAAGCTGCAGAACACAGATCTCACAATAAGCTGCAGAACACAGATCACACAATAAGCTGCAGAACACAGATCACACAATAAGCTGCAGAACACAGATCACACAATAAGCTGCAGAAGACAGATCATACAATAATCTGCAGAACACAGATCACACAATAAGCTGCAGAACACAGATCACACAATAAGCTGCAGAACTCAGATCACACAGTAAGCTGCTGAACACAGATCACACAATAAGCTGCAGAACACCGATCACACAGTAAGCTGAAGAACACAGATCACACAATAAGCTGCAGAACACAGATCACACAATAAGCTGCAGTACACAGATCACACAATAAGCTGCAGAACACAGATCACACAATAAGCTGCAGAACTCAGATCACACAGTAAGCTGCAGAACACAGATCACACAGTAAGCTGCAGAACACAGATCTCACAATAAGCTGCAGAACACAGATCACACAATAAGCTGCAGAACACAGATCACACAATAAGCTGCAGAACACAGATCACACAATAAGCTGCAGAACACAGATCACACAATAAGCTGCAGAACACACAATCTCACAATAAACTGCAGAACACAGATCACACAGTAAGCTGCAGAACACAGATCTCACAATAAGCTGCAGAACACAGATCACACAATAAGCTGCAGAACACAGATCACACAATAAGCTGCAGAACACAGATCACACAATAAGCTGCAGAACACAGATCACACATTAAGCTGCAGAACACACAATCTCACAATAAGCTGCAGAACACAAATCACACAATAAACTGCAGAACACAGATCACACAGTAAGCTGCAGAACACAGATCTCACAATAAGCTGCAGAACACAGATCACACAATAAGCTGCAGAACACAGATCACACAGTAAGCTGCAGAACACAGATCTCACAATAAGCTGCAGAACACAGATCACACAATAAGCTGCAGAACACAGATCTCACAATAAGCTGCAGAACACACAATCTCACAATAAGCTGCAGTACACAGATCACACAATAAGCTGCAGAACACAGATCACACAATAAGCTGCAGAACACAGATCACACAATAAGCTGCAGAACACACAATCTCACAATAAACTGCAGAACACAGATCACACAGTAAGCTGCAGAACACAGATCTCACAATAAGCTGCAAAACACAGATCACACAATAAGCTGCAGAACACAGATCACACAATAAGCTGCAGAACACAGATCACACAATAAGCTGCAGAACACAGATCACACATTAAGCTGCAGAACACACAATCTCACAATAAGCTGCAGAACACAAATCACACAATAAACTGCAGAACACAGATCACACAGTTAGCTGCAGAACACAGATCTCACAATAAGCTGCAGAACACAGATCACACAATAAGCTGCAGAACACAGATCACACAATAAGCTGCAGAACACAGATCACATAATAAGCTGCAGAACACAGAGCACACAATAAGCAGCAGAACACAGATCACACAATAAGCTGCAGAACACAGATCACACAGTAAGCTGCAGAACACAGATCTCACAATAAGCTGCAGAACACAGATCACACAATAAGCTGCAGAACACAGATCACACAATAAGCTGCAGAACACAGATCTCACAATAAGCTGCAGAACACAGATCACACAATAAGCTGCAGAACACAGATCACACAATAAGCTGCAGAACACAGATCACACAATAAGCTGCAGAACACAGATCACACAATAAGCTGCAGAACACAGATCACACAATAAGCTGCAGATCACACAATAAGCTGCAGAACACAGATCTCACAATAAGCTGCAGAACACAGATCACACAGTAAGCTGCAGAACACAGATCTCACAATAAGCTGCAGAACACAGATCTCACAATAAGCTGCAGAACACAGATCACACAATAAGCTGCAGAACACAGATCACACAATAAGCTGCAGAACACAGATCACACAATAAGCTGCAGAACACAGATCACACAATAAGCTGCAGAACACAGATCACACAATAAGCTGCAGAACACAGATCACACAATAAGCTGCAGAACACAGATCACACAGTAAGCTGCAGAACACAGATCTCACAATAAGCTGCAGAACACAGATCACACAGTAAGCTGCAGAACACAGATCTCACAATAAGCTGCAGAACACAGATCACACAATAAGCTGCAGAACACAGATCACACAATAAGCTGCAGAACACAGATCACACAATAAGCTGCAGAACACAGATCACACAATAAGCTGCAGAACACAGATCACACAATAAGCTGCAGAACACAGATCACACTATAAGCTGCAGAACACAGATCACACAATAAGCTGCAGAACACAGATCTCACAATAAGCTGCAGAACACAGATCACACAATAAGCTGCAGAACACAGATCACACAGTAAGCTGCAGAACACAGATCACACAATAAGCTGCAGAACACAGATCACACAGTAAGCTGCAGAACACAGATCACACAGTAAGCTGCAGAACACAGATCACACAGTAAGCTGCAGAACACAGATCACACAGTAAGCTGCAGAACACAGATCACACAGTAAGCTGCAGAACACAGATCACACAGTAAGCTGCAGAACACAGATCACACAATAAGCTGCAGAACACAGATCACACAATAAGCTGCAGAACACAGATCACACAATAAGCTGCAGAACACAGATCACACAATAAGCTGCAGAACACAGATCACACAATAAGCTGCAGAACACAGATCACACAATAAGCTGCAGAACACAGATCACACAATAAGCTGCAGAACACAGATCACACAATAAGCTGCAGAACACAGATCACACAATAAGCTGCAGAACACAGATCACACAATAAGCTGCAGAACACAGATCACACAATAAGCTGCAGAACACAGATCACACAATAAGCTGCAGAACACAGATCACACAATAAGCTGCAGAACACAGATCACACAATAAGCTGCAGAACACAGATCACACAATAAGCTGCAGAACACAGATCACACAATAAGCTGCAGAACACAGATCACACAATAAGCTGCAGAACACAGATCACACAATAA